CAGCTGTTTTTTGAAGGAGGAACAATTGAGGGATTTTCTATTCTATTCATCTATCTGCATCCTTTCCGCTTCCTGTTTTACTGTAGGTTAAATCTTTTCTCATGGGCCAACAACAACATAAAAATATAATTTTATCTTAAATGAAAATGCAATATCTCACCTGTTAACTTTCTTGTTTTGGAGCAGAAAAAGAGCATAAAACCTAAATATTTAAAGCTCAGTTTGCTCCACTGGTTTACTGTGATGCTCACCTGTTCCAGCCAGATACCTTCATCATGGGGTTGAGGAGATCTGAGCTGAGGAGGAGACTCCTGTTGTTTTGTTCATCTTCATCATAATAATGACAACATTAGATGACAACAGGTGCTCACATAGGATTGTGCTGGTGAGCATGGAGAGTGTCTGAGCAGCGTGACCACTTTGCTGTGTGTCGAGGAGGAAAAATAAAAACTACAGCAGCCACAGAGTCATGCTGATTTGAGCGTGTTGCTGTTTGCTGGAGTTATATCAGCTCTGTCTGGAAGTTAGTTGGAAAATTTTCTCTTTCAGTTGTGAACACACTACTGAGCGGTTAAAATCTCCGTTTCTGGGTTTCAAAGTCGGCAAATATCTGAGTAAACTCGGCACTGAGTGAGAGGATCGTTTAGTTTGTCCGAGACAGCGGAGCTGCAGACACCGGCAGCAGACGCCGGAAAATACACAAAGGAGGGGGCGCTTTGGCTCCGCGCGAATGCAGCAAAGCATCATGGGAGTTGAAGTCTTTGCGGTAAAATCTGCCAGCGGGTCAGTTTTAATATATTTTTCATATTTATCCCGCGGGCCACATAAAAATGCTCCGCAGGCCCTGTGTCTGACACGTGCTTTAAATAGAAAAATGTGTTATCTTAGACCAAGATCTGTACCTTGTAAAACTGCTCCTGCTGCTAAAGAGAGGTTCTGTGGCTTTTGTCTAATCTAATAAGAGTTAATGAGAGTGACTCAAACATTGTTTAATTTACATTTCAGGACACGTTGACCCACTGAAAGACACAAAAATACAACATGTGGATGACACATGGGTGCTGATGTTCTTTCTCACCCACAGTCTTCCAGGAAGGCAAATGAGGCAGTAAGGTTGCATACACTCACCCCACTGGGGTGTCCGTCGAGGGCAGATGTTGGGTTTGTGTGTCCAGTTGAGACCTAATTAAATTGAAGAAACACATCATTTTATTTGGCTCCCTTCTCTCTTTGGCCTTGCTTTGATGCAGTGATTATTACCAGGTCTTTGGCTCTGTGGAGGACTGGAGGGTGGGGAAGCATTGTGTCTCATGCTGACAGCTCCCAAACAAAATACCCCCTCCCCTTCCTGGGTTGCTACAGCTGAAACTCCCAACTGGTTTGTCAGTGGTGAGGTCAGTAAGAGAATCCAGCTGTGTGCTGAGGTTCGTTCCTTCTCTGCGTACCAGCCAACCATCTGCCGATCTCCTACTGAGGAGTACTGAACATGTGGATTCTGTATGTACACGACACACTCAGGAATCAGTTTGCTTGTACGAATCCTGAATCTAATTACAGATGTTTTTGGTGTAATAATAAACCCAGGGAAAGATGTCTTGCATTATTTTTGATCATTTGTTGTTGATCCACATTTTTCCTCCAGCTGAGCGACCTTAATGCACCGGAGAAAGGAGCAGAGCAGTGTTTTTGCCTTGTCCTTATATTGACACTGACAGGATGACATAATGTTTACATGGTGTTCTTACATGATAATTATCCCTTAAAGCATCTCCTATATCAATGTTTCCCAACGGTGGGCCTTTGCCCTGCATGTTTTAGATGCTTTTCTGCTGAAACACACCTGTTTTAAATCATAACGGCGAGCTGTTGAGGTAATTCATTCCTTTAAATCGGACCTGTTGGATGGGACGGTGTACTTTAAAGAGTCAGGTTTGTTCTTGGATTATTCTAACTTGTGATAAAAAGTTTGGAAATGGAGATGCACCAATTCTGGTTTTTAGAACCGATACTGACTTCTGATTTTTTTACAACATGATTTTGGCTGATCCTGATTGTTTAGAGAACTAAAATGTCAGAATATGTAAACCAAATCTGATGAACCAAAAAAATTAAATAAATCAGGAATCTGGAAGCAAAAGCATCCACAGAGAAAGACTTCACATGTGAATAGAACATGTGGCATTTGTGACAAACACATTTAAAAAATGTTTTCCACACTTCCTGTTGAATTCACTTGTAAAAACATTAGCATGTGAAACATTTACTAAACGTGTGTAGTGTGATTTTGGAACTGAGAAACATTTAGAAACATGCTATAAATGTGATTCCGTGTGGTGACATGTTTTCCCACATGGACTCGTGTGAAAAAACTATTAAGTTCATGGGTTTTTTCCGTATCCGCTAGTGTGAATGAACACTTTGCAATGGTGAGTTCCCCAGAAAAACCATAAGATTTAAGCCAAGATAATTTGATCATTTGTTCACTTTTACATCCATTTTCATCCACTTGTCTGGAGTCTGGGGGCAGCAGCCTAAGTAGAGAGGCCCAGACTTCCCTCTGCCCAGCCACTTGGGCTAGCTCTTTCGGGGGAATTCTAAGGTGTTCCCTGAACAACCAAGAGACATATTCCCTCTGGCGTGTCCTGGGTCTTCCTTAAGGTCTCCTCCCGGTTGGACGTGCCTGGTGTCGGTACAGGATCTGCTCGGGTGCAGGATCGGCTCGGGGTCCTTCGACTGCCGATGATGTCAAAGTAGTTGATTGGCTGAACATGAAGCTTACGGAAGTTACGTTGTCACGTTATGATTTTAATTGGTCAGAACAAATTTGCAGTTGTAGTCTTAGCAGTTTTAGTCCTGTAGTCCAAAAATCGACAGTTTTTGGAGAAAATATGTTTGAATTTCTAAAGGAAATGTAAAAAATAAGCAAATGATAAACGGGGACCCTAAAAAGCTCTTGATGTTGATAAAATGGGGCTAAATAAAATATAATAACTTTATTGAAAGACACCAAGCAATATTTTGAATCAAAGAATGCATTTAGATAACAACTAAGGAAATATACTGACAAACTCCACATTAATGCAAACAGATATGACTGACATATAAGAACTGTTCTATTTTTTGTCAGTCCGATGTTTGTTTTATGTAGTTTCACATTCTTTACAAAACAAAGATAATATGGTGTTTTATTAACAAATTACAATTATAAAGAAAACATTTAAGTGTTAACAAACAAGAATTTATTAACAAAACTGCTGATGTCCATCCAAAACGGATGTGTGAAATCCGAGTAGATTTGCAGTAATGTGACGTCATCGGCAGTCGAAGGACCCCGAGCCGATCCTGCACCCGAGCAGATCCGGTACCGACACGGGAAAACCTCATCAGTGAGGCATCCAGGAGGTATCCTAAATAGATGCCAGAGCCACCTCAACTGGCTCCTTTCGATGTGGAGGAGCAGCAGGTCTACTCCGAGCCCCTCCCGGATGACCGAGCTTCTCACCCTATCTCTATAAGGAAAAGCCCAGCCACCCTGTGGAGAAAACCCATTTCGGCCGCTTGTATCCGTGATCTCATTCTTTTGGTCACTACCCAAAGCTCATGACCCTGCTGCACAAAAACCATTGTAGTCGAAAAAATTTGAACAAAACATTAAAATTTCAATTAAACTAAAAACGACACACATCAAAAACAAACAGAAATTTAAGGCATAATAATTATTGAAGGCAGTGCTGTAGGTGGGCCAGCACGCACTTTAAATCTTACTTCTCAGCGTACCAGTTTTTATAGCGTGTAGTTCATACCGGCAGTTTATTTGGCCATTTATCTGTTGAAACTTCAGAAATTGCTAAAAAAAAAAAATTTGGTCCAAACCATGCCTTAGGATGCACCCATGGAGTTAGTTTGGAAATAAGGTTTTATTTGTCCTAACAGCTTCAGTCAGCAAATTATAAATGCAGATTGTGAATGGTGCCATGGGCAAATATGGTAAGTTGAGCTCCTCACGATGCTGGGCCTAGTTCCCCAGGTGCTCAAGTTCAGTTACACCACTGAAACCACTGAAAAGTCTAATGGAGAAGTTTTTGGATGCAAGTATCTATTGATTTGCATAACTTTTAATCTCACGCAGAGTGAAGCTTTATCTGAATTCAACATTAGCAGACGGAGACGAACTTGCACTGAACGGGAACGACTCAGGAAAAATGGAATAAAATTTTAAAAATCAAGCGGAGAGGGGAAGCACACAGTAAGGCTTCATTGGGCAATTTTAATTATTTTAACCCCATCCAAAGACAATGCATGTAATGCTGCTAATGCCAAGCCAAACTGCTGCAGAACTTCTGAAAACTCCATTGAAATTTGGCTGAGCTTGTTATCAGGGCATAACAAAGATTACGTTTTCATCTTAACACTGGTTTTAAAAACACAAATTTGACTTTTTCTTGTGTTTGTAACTAAATAAATCTGTTGATGTCTAAATTTATGGTCATGGTCCACTTCAGTCAGTGGTTTGAGTCCCGGTTTGTTGGGATTTCTGCTTCAGGGATAACAAGAACCAAATCCAATCCTCTCTAAATGCCATAAAGTTTCAGTCACTATTTATTTAATCCCATTCGTAACTGAAAATGATCACCTCACCATTAAGTCCATCTGCTCATTACTTTCTATTGTCAACAGCCTCTAAGCTAATTACTGTTCTGTTGTATGATGGAATGAGTTATTGATTGATATCGAGTGCTTCGTCATGGTTTGTGCTCATGTTGCCAAAGTGTCTTAATAGAAACCGGTGTCTCAGCCCCTTTGCAAGATCGTTTTTCTTTTTTCTTATGCCTACAGCTGCTTAGAGCAATCCTAAAGCCTTAAATTACATCAGAATGCTTATCTTCCAAGCAGGCGTGGCAGTGATGAAATAACTAAAAACATGATTGATTTTGAATTTTTTTTCTGAAACCCCTTAGGCTTGCTCTTGATTGTTTCTTGTCTTTATTTATCTTTTTCAGGGGGCTTTTTGCAAGTAACTATACCGAAACTCATTATCTGGAAGATGGAACTGCGGTCACAGGCCTTCACAACTTCACGGTATGCTTCTTTTAAATTTCATTCCTTTTATAAATGTTGTAATACTCTAAAACTCTTCCTTTGCGAGTGCTCCGCTTCATTGTGCTAATATTAGAGTGACAGAAGATGTAGATTAAAATTAAATTGCAGTCCGACTCCCCTCCTTAAACCACCTGGAGTTGCTCATAAAACATCATAGGTGAATGGGTCCATTCTCAGCAAACTGATTCATATTTGACGAAGTAGAGGCAGATGGAGGTCAGAGAATGGACTCAGGATTAAGAAATAGCTTGAGTCTTTAATAATGAAAAAATTTAAATTCATCCCTAAAAATGGTTTGCTGCGCAAGTAGACATGAATAGCTTAAATTAGTGAACATTTAAGTGCTTTTCAGAACTCAAACTGACAGAAATATTCATTTCATTTATGTGCTTTGTAGTAGAGTTAGCATATTTATCTAAAATAAATCTGTGGGATCTGTCGGATAACGTCGAAAATGCCATTTCCTTTAACTCTGACACGCATGCATAGCTTTTGGCCCATTGCTGCGCAATCACATTTTTATGCTATTCTATTGCATTGCTTTGATAAAAATTGGTCACATTCATCATACTCAATTAGGCAAATCTCAGCTAAATATGTTTGCATTTAAACGTTTCAGCTTTTTGAAAACCTCTTCCATGGATGCATGAATATACTGCCATACAAAGATATTTATTTTATGCTTTGCTAAAATAAAGAGGTAATTATAGTTCGGTGCACTGAGAAGTAGCTTAACCACATGGAACAGTTCCTGTGCTTTGTAGCTGCCACCAGCTGGCTTTATTTCACTGATTCGTTCATCTGCAGTTTGGAAAGCAATTAAATGTTTAATTTTTCTTCAGAATACCAAGAAAGCGTAATAAACAGCCTACAGGGGTCTGTGTGCAGAGGCTTACTTACGGCTGAGATGCACAAATAAAGGGATTAATTGAATTACATAATGTGCAACCCACACAGCTAAATAAACAATATATTCCACTTGAAGCTGCTGTGAGACCAGAAATGCAAGTTCATCGATTCAGCTCATTAGAGCTGCTGCTGCTGCTTGAGATTGTGAAGACAATGAAGGAGTTGTAGCTGGTCAGCAGGGTGGATGTTCAGTTGTCTAACCGTGGCTGGAGATAGACATTTATTCTGCAGAGGAATATATCGATGAGCAGATCATTTTTGACTAAATGTTTTTTTTAATGAAGCCCAACTCACCTTTGTGTTACCTATGAGAATGCTAACGTGCATTTTGATACATAAGCAATAGATGAAGTGTAAAGCACATTTTTAAGAAGTCAGAGCTGCTGCCAGTGGCATAATAGGGTCACCATGGTGACCACGGGTCACTTATCAGGGTTTTCATGGCAATTGTCAATAGCTTAATGGTGTAACAACACACCTGTGACTTGCTAACCTGGAAATCTAGACATACTTTATCAGTAGCAAAAGTATTTTTTTCTGCAGGTCAGCCATGCTGCATTGTAGTCTCAGCAGGTCAACCATTGGCCCAAACAGTTTTGTGTCTAGCCAATTACAGTGCTCTATGTTTGTGGAGAAAAGTTGGATAGGGTAGAAGAGCTACGACAGCAAAAAACTACAAAGATGGCGTTGATTCAGCAACAGCGCTTGTGTTAAACGGCTTTGGTAGAAACTTTGGACAATTTAGATTTGGGCTTGTTTTTGAGACATGAGCAGATAGAGGAGCTTAAGGTCCTTTATTTTGACAAAGAATGCATTTGCTTCACTTTTCTTTGATGGTGGACTGCCCCGTTGACTGATGTCTGTTGCGATGAATACGTCATGTTGATCGATGCACATTTGCTGTCCAAATGCGTGTGGAGGCAGTTTGAAAGAAAGATTCTACCCCACGACCAAGCTCTGTCTACTGTTCAAGGCCAAGAAGTCTTGCCAGGCTAGTTCCTGTCAGGAGAACCTTAAAAATGGACCCAAATCCCAGTGCTATCTATACGGATGTCCTGTGTGGATACCGTAAATCCTCTAATACAGGCCCGGGCCTGTATTTGACTCAAGCTTATCAAGCTCCAGGCCTTTATTGGAAGGAGGGCCAGTATTAGAGGCAGGCCTCTATTTCTATTTGAGCAAAATGAACTAATGGTTCGCTGGAGTTTTTGACAATTAAAATTGCGCCCACATTTTCAAAGTTAAACACATTTCTTTTAACAACGGTAGTTTCTGCTTCAGCCATCTCCCCCCTCCCCCTGCTTCAGCCATCTCCCCCCTCCCCCTGCGCAGCAAACTCACTGATGCGCCTGCAGCCTCTGGGAGTTCCTGCTGCTCTAAACATTAAAATAATTATTTCATTTTCTGTTCCTCACTTCTGATTACCTTCAATGGTGTCTGTTTGTTGCAACCACCAGGTACAAAAACTAACTTGTTTTTATTTGACTATTTTTCTGTCCTGCATCTCCTCTCAATCCTAAAGAAAAACTGCTACCTGGGTTCATATATATTCACCTCATGAGTTACCTTTGAACTGCAGTTCTAAAAGATCTACCGACCGCTAAAACAGCGGAGCGCTCGCTGTTTGGCAGCCGTATCAGTGATCAGTGCGTCGGAGGACAAGGTGATGCGCGCAGCGCCCCGCTCCACAGCATGCAGCGAAACGCATCAGGCGCAAATAAAAGACAGAAAACATTAAAGGAAATGAACTGACATGAACGACCGCGTGTTAAATTAGTTTTTGAGGTGGCGACACCTGATTCTTACTGTGGCCGTGCTCAGGAGGCAGATCTACCGACCGCGAAAATAGCGGAGCGCTCACTGCTTGCCGGCCGCATCAGTGATCTGTGCGTCGGAGGACAAGTTGAAGCGCCCCGCTCCACAGCAGCGATACACATCAGGCGCAAATAAAAGACAGAAAACATTAAAGGAAATGAACCGACATGAACGATCGCGTGTCAGTACCGACGCTCTGGCACAGCGCGTTGCCCCCCACCCCCACCCCCCCACCCCCAAGCGCAGGAGCTTGTCACCTGCTGACAGCAGGCTGCTGTCTTTTCCGAGGGCTGCATCTTGCCGGTCATTATCACGTGACAGCGACTAGTCGACGACAGGCATAAAAAGTCACTATAGTGAAGTTGACTAGTTCATACAACCCCTACTGCTGCTCTCCAGAGTGTTCTGCAGCATAATCAGCACGTTCTCTTTGAACTTGATAGTGTAATGACCTGGCTGGGGTTGTAAGCCAGGTGCATTCTGGGAATTGTGTTATATGTGTTTCCTATCGTTCTGCTATTTCCTATGTGCTGATTTGCGTGTTGTGTGAGTGTTATGTAAGCCACAGGGAAGGTGATGTGTGTTCTGTGGAGCGGGTTGAATTAGCATGGTTAACTGACACCGTGACTCTGTGTGGTAGGAGCGTGATAGAGGATCGTGTTTGTAGCGTTACAAAGCGTTGACGAAAAAGCCTAATAAAGGTCTGCGTGAACCTCCACTGCCTCCTGCTGGTTGATTTGGGGACTTTAACCCTGCCGCTGGGACGCTTGTACTTGCTTGTTACCACATTCCACCCGGCCACAATAAGAGACCGGCCATTATTTACCTCTGCTGACTCTGACAAGGGCCAAAATTGGAGACCCGGCCTTTAATTGAATACAGGCCTGTATTGGAGGATTTACGGTATTTGTAAATGATGTCTACATCCTCACACTACAAAAGACCATAGTAATTTATTCTTGATGTTGTAACGTTTGTGTTTGCACTGAATGGAAATATAATGTTAATGATTAAATATGTTTCCCTCTTTAGATACGTTGTTTGAAAGCTGTACGAAGAACAGAGAAATAACTACCTGATAAGTAAAAGCAACTGTTGCATTGAAGCGCACGCGTGTGCTGGAAACCCGTTTGATTGACTCCAGGAACATCTGAACATCTCTTGACCTCCGCCCCTTTTCTCATTCCTGTCCCATGACCAGAGCCAGCTCTTGGCGGGAGGACCGGTTTCACTAAAACAGCCAGATCTTTTGAGACTGATCTAGGTAATTTATTTGTCCTGTCGGCAGGGAGGAGGCTGATATAGTGATCTGGGCCAGGCATCTTGCAGATTCAGTTCTGTGTCAACACCGAGGTACTGCTGGGAGTGACTTCAGCATGAGTCAGCCGTTTCTCCGGTTCGGTTTTACACCCTCTCTCCCGTTCTCACTAAATCTGAGTCCACACAGAGCTCCATGTGAAGCGTCACGTGGTGCAACAAAAGCCATCCTTAGGGAATATCAGTCACCTCCCTGGGCATTAAATAGTTAGCTAGGAATAATAAATGTGTAGAGCACCTTCTGTAGTAATCTGGATTTTGGTTCTGAATCAGACTTGATTCATTACAGCATGAGCATGTTGCTTTCTCAGAGAAACAAAACATCTTATCACATCTCTTATATCAATACATCTCAGTTATGATCTCATGGAATAAACATGAGGTTAAAGCATTAACTCTGTGCACTAAATCCGACCCCGGTCCTCCCAAATGTACTAAAATTCATCTTTGTTAAAATGTGCTGTCTTGTTTTTGCACTTTTTACCCCACGATAATGAATTATTCTCTTTTATTAAGCTACTAAAAAGTGTCTAAACAGCTTTAAGGTCTAAACACTTTGACTCCTTGTTTTTCGGGCTGAGAATACAACACCAGCATTCTTCTTTCTTTTGTTATTATAAAAGCAATTTTTTTTGCTGAACACACAGAAACTTTATGACTTGGTCCTGCTATTTCTCGGACCTTAGACTCATCCCAGCGCTGTGACGAGGCATCCGTCCCTACTAGAGACCACTGCGAATGTCATAAAAATATGAGTAAAGATTTTAAATTCACTTCTATCATCTGTATAATAAAATATCCTTCTCTCTGTTTTTATCAAAGTAGTTTTAAACAAAACATCTTTCATTTCTGATTAATCTGTCTAAATGATCCTAAAAACAGACTTTTAAAATGACAAGTTGATGTTGGTGTTCTGAAAAAAACAACAGGGTCCTCTT